TAGGTCGGCCTTCACACCTGGGCATGCCAGGATATGTAAGCTGACATGCAGTCGACCCCACGATTGTTCCGTCCGACTCAGGTACGCATTTCTAGACTATGCAATGTCATTCCCAGACCTTTCGGCGCGCCTTCTACGCCACTCGCACCTGCCTGTTTCGCCGTTCGATCAAACCCAGTCTGCAGGTGGACCAATTAGGAACTACGCTCCGCTAGCGCGTCTCCGCAGTCCTTCCCCAGATCGCCTGATCATCCCGACACCGAGGCTCTACAAAAACATTATGCACACAGCAGGACCCATTATGAACATGGAACAGCCATCCCAGAAACGAGTATCGAAAGCATGCGACGCGTGCAAGAGGAGGAAAGTGCGTTGTAACGGCCAAGCACGGTGTCAACAGTGCGCGCATCTCGGCTTGCGGTGCATCTACTCACCCTCCGGCAAGCAAAGGTCTCAGGGCAAGCGAGGCCATATCATCTCCGAGTTCAGAAGCCAAACATCCAATTTGCCAGCAATATCGCCGCCCATACTGCCTGCTCATTCAGCAGCAGCTAGCTTTCAGACGCCGTACAGTCCCATCTCGCCGATACTTGACCGTAATGGAGGCACACCAAGTATGTCACCCTGGCAATCTCTACTCAAATTTGGGGTGCTACTGCTGACTCCGGGCAGCATCTCCTTCGTCATCCTTCACATCACAGTACCCCAAGGCTTTCTTTCTCGACCTCATCCCGGATTATGTTGCTGGGGTATATCCTGTTCATCCGGTCATTGCCGAACATGAGCTCCGACAGTACATCGAGGTCATGGACAGCGACCCAGATGTCCGCTCATTCATCTACGCATTCGGAGGCTGCACGCTGAACTTGACCCGGTATGGTGACCGCCGGACTGAAGAAATCGTCCAAACCATCGAAAGCCTCATGGACTACTCAATCGATACCATGAGGCGAACCCACAAGCATTGCCATTTCTCGGTCATGCGAGCCGTGCAGTCAATGTTCATACACAATTGCCTCATGAGTCTGCAAGGTAGCGACAGCGCATTCTACTACATGCGAGACGCCATTACGATCATCCAGCTCCTGCAGATCGACAAGCCGGAGAACGTGGCGCAGCTGTCTCCTCCCGAACGATCCCGAAGACAGCGGCTCTACTGGCAAGCGTACATACACGAGCGATTCATAGCTATCCTGGATTATCGGCGTGCCATTCTCCCTCCACTCTACACATTGCCGGAAGACGACCCTACACTTCCGATACAGGTTCACGAGGGCTTCAATCAGATCATCAAGCTTTTCCGCATGCTTGATACGGAGTTCCTTGATAGCTGGCTTGACACGCAAGGAGGCAACGTCACCAGCACGTGGGTCGAGGCCAAGTCGCGCGAGCTTGAAGGCGACCCTGAGGCTGACGCACGGGAGTTGGCCATGTTGTCCATGATGCAACGAGCCGATCTGTGCATCACGCGTGAATGGCTGCGCACTCTGGTCTGGCGCTTAGCCATGAGCCAAACCCTCCTGTCATCTCGATCTTCGAAAGATTGCCTGTCGCTCTTATTCCCGGTAAGGCTGTCACAGACATTACGGCAACAATTATCCAGTATGTCGCGCCACGACATCGAAGTACACGGAAGCAGCATCACTCAGAAACTTTTCGAAATCACAGACACGATTGCCGATGTTCTTATCCACGTTCCCGCCGCGACTATCGATGAGACGGCCCTAAGGATTGACGATTTCCTCTTCATCCTAGACTTTGTCCTGCTGATTCCGCACCTTGATCAGACGCGTCGAAGCATACTGCTCGAGAAGCTAGAGCGCCTCCAAACGATGTTCCCTGAGGCACTCAGCAATGCCAGTTCGCCGAACCTACCACACGATGTGAATAGTCCTGGTGGGGTGAACGACCCTTGGTATCAAGTCACGCAATCAAAGACAGCTGCAGGGCTAGAGGATATGGCGGACGGATTGGTGCAGGTTCAAGCCCAAGAAATTCCAAGATCAGAGGCGAGAAGTGGACATTTGGCCACATGGAACAATATTTCACAACGCTTGTCCATGCAGGTCGCTCATGTAGCTCAGTAAAATCTAGCTTCAAGCAATGATTTTGTTCATGCGACGCTATCTACGCAAGTAAATAGATCCTGCCTTCAAAAGCAGCCAGTTTCTTCTCCTCACAGTTATCCACGCTGCTTACAAGCAGTTCCATCTTTTCGCTCTTCACACTTTCTGGGAAGGCCAGATCCTTCTTCTGGTCCGTGAAATTGCAAATGCACACGGCTCTCTTCTCATTCCATGTCTTGCTGAAGACAAAGAAGTCTGGGCTCTCCACATCTAGATCGTCGTACTGGCCATGCACAAGGAGATCGTTGTGTTGCTTGCGTACTTGCAGCATGCGCTTCCAGAAAGCGAGCACGGAATCTTTATCGCCTTTTTGTTGCGCAACATTGCAGACCTTTGCGTCCTCAAGAGGTCGCATCCACGGTTCCGCAGTAGCGTCAGGCGGCGAGAAGCCGTTGTGCGTTGCGGTCGACCAGCTCATCGGCACACGAGCATGGTCTCTAGCGAGATGCTGAAGCGACTTATGCGCATCTTCAAGAGCCTTGGGGTCGTCTTTTGTCCGCGCAGCTACCATCTTGTAGTAGTTTGTCGAGTCCACGTCCTTGTACTCGCTCATATCCCAGGTCAGAGGGAAGTTCGTCATGCCAATTTCTTGGCCCTGGTAGATGAACAACGTGCCGCTGAGTGCTGCCATCATCAACGCGAGCATCTTACCGCCTGCGACGCGGTGCTCGGGCGCATCGGAAGTAAAGCGTGTGATTGATCGACTTTGGTCGTGGTTCTCGAGGAAGACGGTAGTCCAGCCATCTGAGGGGGCGCGAATGAGGTCTTGCGTGCGGGCCATGGCACGTTTGAACTGTGGGAGTGTCCAGTTCTTCGGTGTAGTTTGGAATTTGTAGGGGCCTTGGCCAACGTCGACGACATCCTGTGCTTTTAGTTAGTACTGCCGATCTCTTGTTTTTGCGCTTTTTCGGGCTTGCTCACGAATTGGAAGACCATGTTCAGTTGCTTCTCTTTAGCACTAACATATTCCAACACTCTCTTCATGTCTGGTGTGTGGGGGCACTCGCCGACGGTCATAGCATCGTACTTCTCCAAGATTTGGTTCATCTCGTTCAGGAATTCGGCCATCCTTGGGCCGTTGCAGTACTGGTATCCAGCAAACTGCCATTCCGAACCAGGATCGGTGATCGGTGCGTCAAGCATCTCACCTTTGCTGTACATGTTGACGGTATCAACGCGGAATCCATCGACTCCGCGCTGTAGCCAAAACTCCATGGCGGATTTGTAAATGGCTTGTCGCGTTTCGGGGTTTTCCCAGTTGAGGTCAGGTTGCTCGGGGCAAAAGAGATGCAGATAGTATTCTTGGGTATGTTCATCCCACTCCCACACACTACCTGTAAAGTTGCCGACCCAGTTGTTGGGAGCTTTGCGCTCGCCGTTGACATACCGAGCTGGTCTCCAGATGTACCAGTCTCTCTTAGGGTTGTCTTTCGATGATCGTGATTCTAAGAACCATTTGTGCTTGGAGAAGTCAGTTTTGCAAGTTTGTGCCGAGCTACACCTGTAAGACTTACCTGATCAGATGTATGGTTGACCACCAGATCCAGTATAATCTTCATGCCTCGCGAATGTGTCTCGGCGATCAGCTTCTCCATGTCTTGGACAGTACCATACGGCCTGTACACATCCTCATAGTCACGGATGTCGTACCCCACTGTTGGAGTAGAAGGTCAATATATATACCACGTGCAATTTGTATAGTGGAGGTAATGCTTACTGTCTACTTGGGGTGAATCGTACATGGGACAGATCCAGATGACGTCAACACCAATGGAGCGGATGTAGTCCAGCTCTGAAATGATGCCATTGAGGTCACCAATGCCGTCGCCGTTGGAGTCTTTGAAAGAAGCGGGGTAGATCTGGTATACAACACCATCTTTCCACCAGGGTCTTTGAGGAACGGTCATTGTGTTGCTGCTGGATCCCCGTGCTCTTTGGGGTAATTTTGATTACCTAGGTATGGTGGGTAGAGATGGTACGCAGCGTCAATGAGGGCAAGCGTTTCTTTGGTGGCTTGCAATGGCACCAGTGGCTTTCTTATAAGCGTCTTGCAATGGGATCTTATCAGATGGAGAGTAGTCGTTGAGATCTGGTCGCTGTGTTTGGACCGCACGTGGAGGTTCCCCCCACCGGAAAGTTTCTCGGTACAATGACGATTGGCTCAAAGCCGGATCGTGTCAACACATGGCGATCCCCACACAACCCAGCAACAGTCTTCCCCACAGATGTCTTCCATCGCATGGTGTTTCAACGTTCTTTCCCGCGTGTCCGATATTGCGGGATTTAAGCGAGGATGCATGCGGGGAGATGGTGGGCGCGACAGGCTATCGATTCATGCTCTCGGTCCGAGATGAAAGGCAAACCGCGTTAGTGGGAACGCTCAGTCGCATTTCCGTGCCACACGTGATGGTCGCTTCGGCTTTCGGGGCTCGTGCACGCAACCTTGAAATCTCGGTCCGGCATCTTGTCGAATCACGACCTTCACTCCTGCTCCGAGTTTTCGATGGCACACCCGTGTCGGCGGGCCTCACCAGCAACAGCCTAGCCTCTCAAGCCATAGTGCTGCGCGATGAAGATGGCCTCACAGCTGCAAGAGTGGCGTCCTCCCCGCATCCCTTGACTGCCTCCACCATCCCCGGTTTCTGACTTGGCACGAGCTCTGTCTATGCATGGGTATCGCGTGTCTGGGGTCGTGAAGTTGTATAAGTAGAACGACGGTATCCACCAGGAGAGATCACCATCCAGCTTCGAGTCCCACCAGCTCCACGTTCAGGAGAGGTCTGGGTCTGACCCACATCATCCTACTTCATCCTTTGGGCATACCCACATTTGTCAAGCCACCTGGACATCGTCTCATCCTCGGACACGACCATCATGTCTCGCCGCAACAGCAGTGTCGTCGCTATCGACGCCGAACAGGCACGCCGCCTTTCACTCGCCGTCACGGACATCAAACAAGTCGCCCACGATGCCGGCAACGCGACTCGATCGGAGCAGCAGATGACCCTGCGCCAGGGTATCAAGTTATACCCAAAGGCCATCGCCTGGTCCGTCCTGCTCTCCGCAGCCATCATCATGGAAGGCTTCGACAAGGTCTTGATCGCCAACCTGATGGCGGTTCCTGCCTTTAAGCAAAAGTTCGGCGAACAACTTGCAGATGGCACCTTCGAACTCACCGCTGCGTGGCAAGCGGGCCTCACAAACGGTGCATACGTTGGAGAGTTTACAGGTCTGCTCCTGAACGGTCTCATCGCGGATCGTTTCGGCTACAAGAAGACAATGATCGGCGCGCTCTTCGCGGTGAATTTCTTCATCTTCATCGTCTTCTTCGCGCAGAACATCACCATGCTTCTATGCGGTCTCATCCTGTGCGGTATCCCATGGGGTGTATTCCAGACCCTGACTTGCACCTATGCCGCCGAAGTCGTACCGGTGCCACTTCGACCAATTCTTACAACATACGTCAACCTCTGCTGGGTCATCGGTCAATTCCTCGCCTCTGGCGTTTTGAAGGGTGTAGCCGAGCGCCCCGACCAATGGGCATACCGCATCCCATACGCCCTGCAGTGGCTCTGGCCTCTCCCGTTGATGATCGGCATCTCGTTCGCACCTGAATCTCCCTGGTGGCTTGTACGGAAAGACCGATGCGAAGAAGCAAAGAAGATGTTGATGCGCCTCACATCACCCGAAAAGCTGCCCGACTTCAATGCCGATGAGACCATTGCTATGATGCGCCACACCAACGCCATGGAGATGGCGGTCTCTGAAGGTACTTCGTACTTGGACTGTTTCAAGGGTACAGATCTCCGCCGAACTGAAATCGCCGCCATGGCATGGTTTACGCAGGCCTTCTGCGGAGCAGGTCTTATCGGTTATTCGACATACTTTTTCCAGCAAGCAGGCCTTAGCGACGCGGATGCGTTCTCCATGAGTCTAGGACAATACGCAATTGGTGGCGTGGGTGTCTTCATGGCCTGGATCCTCATTCAACGTGTAGGACGTCGCACATTGTACGTGTATGGCGATCTCGTCATGGTTATGTTGTTGTGTATCATCGGAGGTCTCGGTTTCATTCCAGCCGGCAACGTTGGCGCGCAGTGGGGTATCGGCGCCATGCTCCTACTTTTTGCAGCCGCATACAACTGCACGGTCGGACCTGTCTGTTACTCCATCGTCGCAGAGATTCCATCCACTCGTCTTCGCCAAAAGACTGTCGTCTTGGCCAGGAACTTCTACAACATCGGTTCTATCATCGGCAATGTTATTACTCCACGTATGCTCAACCCCGGTGCTTGGAATTGGGGCGCAAAGAGTGGTCTGTTCTACGCCGGAACGTGCTTTTGCTGCTTTATCTGGGCGTTCTTCCGTCTTCCTGAGCCAAAGGGCAGGACTTACGGAGAGCTCGATATCCTCTTCGAGAAGCGTGTCCCGGCTAGGAAGTTTAGCAGCACGGTCGTTGACAGCTTCCATTCCAGTGATACCGAGAGCGATTATACCGAGAAAAAAGGTGTCTCGGCCCATCTTGAGCAGGTCAACTCTAGGGATGCTATTTGAGCTGTGAGATCCGCCACGGAGGCTTTATGATTTGTAAATATTATGTGTGACGAATTATCGACTTGTCGTAAATAGAGGATGCATCTTTCGTCGTAATAAAATATGTTTCTGCAGATGCTAGTGTGCTGTGATCTTACGCGGCCTCAAGCTTTGGTGCGGCAGCAAGCGACGTGCGATTGTTGAGTCTACTGTGAAATTAAAGCAAGGGGGGCTCGCCACAATTGCCCATTTGCGGTCCGGCCTAGTCACGATTCAATAGTGGGGTACATAGGCCCGGGAGCGGTTCTTGCATTCCTTGCTGCTCGCTTACTCTCTCCAAACACAAACGTGGCGTTCCCTTCTTCCCATCATCGATGTAGGTGAGAACTTAGCAGTGCGGGTCCGGACTGCGTCGTATCACCACCGGGCAATTAGTCATCATTTCTCGAAATGCCCAATGTTGGCAGACCTTCTCCAGGTTGCAAGACATGTAGGGACCGCAGGATCAAAGTATGTAATGCACGCGTGAGTAGATACTTGGGCCACTAATCCGCTGTTCCAGTGTGACCAGAAGCGGCCTTCCTGCTCGCAATGTCTCCGTGCAGGCAAAGAATGCCATGGATACCGCGACGTGGCTTCCCTAATGTTCAAGAATGAGAGTCGCGTCGTGGCAAAGAAGGCGGAGCAACGTTACGAAGAGCTTGCCAAATCAAAAGAACCAAGAACGCCTTTGGGACGTGGAGAACCCAACAGGATCAGAAGCGTGCAGCGGATCTATCCGGTGCAGAGTCCGCCCAAGGCTGAGATCATGGCCTTGCAACCCACGCCGAATATCGACGCCCAAGCGCAAGGCTTCTTCCTCACCAACTATGCAGGCGCCGCCGATTTCCCTCAAGGAGGCCAATTCGAATGGATTCCCCAGCTGCTGTCACGGCCGAATATCGAGGGTACGCTTCGTGAGAGCTTCCGCGCCCTAAGTCTAGCAATCTTCGCCAATGCAGCGAAGTCCCCTGCCGTCATGCGAAAAGCGCGTGTCGCATACGGTTCTGCATTAGAGGAAACAAACAGAGCGCTCATGTCGCACGAAGCCGCGGTCAAAGATAGCACTTTGGTTTCGGTCATCCTACTTGGCATGTACGAGGGCACGGTATACACGGATAAGAGCTCCATCGATAGGTGGTCAAAGCACGTCAGCGGGGCTTACACCCTGTTCATGTTACGCGGCAAGTCGCAATTCGAGACTGAACTCGGACGGCGAATATTCCAGCAGTCATACGGCGTCGCTCTATTCTTCACGCTTGAACTAGGGACGGGTATTCCAAGTTAGTCACAATCCTAGGCGGACTGCATGTAATACACGAACTAACATCGCACACCAATATCTAGAACATTTGCAAGAGCTGTACGACAGCATCCCCCTGGAATCGGGATTCAACGAGCTTGTAAAGAAATTCATGATCGGCATTCTGCACGTCATGGACGCAGTCGTCAAACTCGGTCAAGACAAGAGCCGAGATCCCGTGGAAACAATCAACCGCGCGAGAAGTCTCAGTCAAGAGTTAGAGGATATCAAAGCTCTTTTACCTGCAGCCTGGCATCCAACAAGGGTTCATCTTGATGTACCTTCAGTTCATTACTGTGGAAACACATACAGCATCTGCCTCTTTCCCGTCATGGCGCAGTTGTGGAATTACACCCGGTTTATTGGAATTCAAGTGCACGATATCATCAGAGCAAACCTGATGAGGGTTCGTGAGGAACAAACTTCCCCGCTCTACGACGCTGCCAGTTTGAAAGCGTGCATACAACATGAGGAGAATGTGCTACGAGCTAACGTCGCCGCAATCGTTGCCGCAGTACCTCAGACGATCGGCATGGTGCCATCCCCGGTGTTCTCTGCTGCTGGATTGGCCCCCGAAGATGAAACAAAAGATGGGCCTATCATGAGAGAACCGGGGACCTATATCGATTCAGTCATCTCACCGAGACTAATGCAGCTCGTCCAGCCACTGTATGCAGTGGGTACGTGTCTGCTTATTTCGCATCAAATGCGGCAATGGGTCATTGGCATTCTCCATTTTGTTGCATTGAGAATTGGATCAAGACAGGCAGTCGTGCTCGCAGCTGAGCTGCAAAGGCTTCAAGAGTCAGCACCGAGTGTAGCACACGGCTGGCAAGACATAGCCGAGTGGCTCGCGCTGGGTCCTGGGGTAATATAGCTGTAAACGCAGAGCACAGCCCAGCAATGATCTCAACACCACGGATCGCGACTGGCAATGATGAGCAGACAAGCGGAACAAAATATGATCTCGCACCAAACAACTCTTTTGCGCTTATACGCTCACAATGAGACTTGTAGTAGGACTTCTTCTTCAAGGCCTACAAGTCTTTCTTGTCATTCCTTGAGGCTTCACCAAATCCCACCCTTGCCATGAATGCTAGTCTGACCAGCCCTGCAAACGCTGTAATGCCTATACTTCCCCAATCCTCCGCCCGCCAGGTGCCTACGCTTAGTCTGCCCTGCTTTGCCAACACCTCCCAGACTGCCCAATAGTACGCCAGATCGACAACGAAGCACGACAACTGGACAATGCGCCAGACGTTCATGTCGTTTGTGTATCGTAGCAGGACAGCAGACACGATGCCGAAATTTAGCATGCCCCCGCCACGTTGCTTGAGGATCATGGCGTGGCCGATGTCTGGGGTGGGTGAGGGGATGTGTGATGAGAGGACGACAGTGGGCATGAAGAAGTCCATGGTTGCGCCCCAAGCGCAGATGATGGGGTCGAGGTATGTAAAGAATATGCGATAGAATGCAGGTATGGAGGGTGCCGTGGGCTGAGACATGATTGCCGCTCGGTTGCAATGAATAGCTCTAATTCGATGAAGAGATGCGGACAGTGTGTCGAGTAACGATAATCTGCGTGATGGTGTGGATGGTATGTGTGATGCGTGTCCTCGGTGCTTGAGCAGATGTCAGCTTTGGACCCCGCGCCAGTGGGTCTAGCTGCTTCTGTGCTGCATTGATGGCACAGAAGACTAGGTCGCTTGTGACTAGACTCGTATACCAACAAACCCGTGCTGCAGGCCTGCTGCACCTTGAATCCTTCAGCTTCGATCTTCTGTTGCGGTGACGCGTGAGGTCGACTACCACAGTATCGCAGCCTGTTGTCCGTGCCTGCCTGCTACCTAGATGTTCTCCATCACACGGAGATGGCCCCATCTGCACAACACATCGCGTTAATTTGGGCGAGGCAGCAACAATCGATGCTTCCAACAACTTCTGATCGGAGTCGGTCCCGTGTGGTGGATCCCCAGGCTGCTAGCGCGGATCCCGAGTGTTGTGCCTGGGATCCACGCCGTCACGCCATGACCTAACACAACAGCTGGAAGCCGTTGCAGATATCCACGCCTCGCAAACATTCACCCACTCCAAGCATGAACACACTGCGCCGCTCGAATTTGGGGGCTTGTCTCAATCTGTGACAACACCTCGTACCTGTTAGATCTTCGTTGTTGCTCGTCCGGGGCCGTTCCGTCTCTTGCACTCGCACGGCGGTTAGTCGAAACTGCTGAATGGACGCGTCCATGGCTCATGCAAGCGGCGCCCCATCGATTAAAAATATTCCCGAAAGCCATCCTGAAGACATGGAGCTTGTGATCGCATGGCAGAGTTCACGCCCTCGTCATAGCCCGCTGCGCGAACGGTGAGGCTGTGGGTGCCAGACGGGCTTCGCGACGCGACCTGACCCTCAACCCTCGGAACCATGATGGATGCACACGATGCATCCACCAGCGATGGCACGCGCTCGACACCTAGGCATTTCCACAGCCCCCAAAGCCGTCGCTACTGCTAGTGAATTACGTCGGTGTAACACAGTCTCGAGCGCTACCTGGCTACCTAGGTCGTTGATGCGCGGCCCAAGGCATCCTCAACAAAGTGGACATCATCAGAATGTGCCACGCATGAAATAGATGTTTATGCGGTCAGAAGCTTAACTCGAAGCGTATTACTCCTTTCATTCCAGTCAGCCTTATAACGGTTCGAGGTCCAGATATTGACTGGTAGTTACAGGGTTCGCGCGCGCCGTACATCATGGCTGAGTAACGTCAGTTCTCGCTACTCCACCACTACGGACCGATGCTGCCTACGACTTGAGCAAGTTCACCAGGCTTGCTATTACGTTAATTATCCCTGGCAGCGAAGCTTCTCGTGTACAGCGTGTCGGCACGGATTCGGGTTTGCATGGGAAGTAGCATTCCTGCTGCAAGCTGGATCACGAGCCTCGCCTCCGCCGCGGTGCGCCAACGCCGTGCCTTGCATTATCACTGCGACTCAGCCTGCGATAGCTGAGCTTGACCATTTAGCGGCATTTCTGAGATTAAGGTCCGGCGGCAAAACGAGATAATTCTCTGGAGAAGGCAATTCCTTGATCGTCGGCCGCCCCTAATTTAACCGCGTCGGGTTAAAGCTTTCATCGCTTCGCCTCAAGCAGACTGGGCATTCGGTCTACCGATGCAATGTCATTGGTGCACAACGAGGAATGCTCGTGAACAAGTGGGTATTATGACAGTTATGCTGGCCAAAAGCAGATGATTGACGCGATAAAGACACCAACGTGCACGGAATCGCGGCAAATGTCCGTGGTCACCCTACCGCACTCGCTCTAGTAAGCCAGGCAGTACTGCGGCGTTGACAGATTTCCTGCCCTACTTTCGGTTCTCCCCGAGCAAGCCACATCCGCTTCACACGTACGAATGCCTTACGGCACGGAAGGCCTACTCGTTAAGCGCCGTCGTGAGATGGAGGACATGCTCTGCCTACACGATGGATCAACTAAGATGGTGGCGTGGAGCTGGGGGAGTTGGTTTGATATATAGCTCCTTACTGGACTTTTAGTATGAAAGTACCCCATAACGAAGATTCTCCATGTCAGCAGAGCAATTCTCAAAGCTCTCTCTCGGAGAGGACATGGTTACCACTCGTGCCGGGGCCGCAAGGGCCGCAAGAGCTAGTACAC